GACAGATTGCAACAATAAAACAGGTGCATGTTACTCAGCTCATCTCCCATACAGCGGGGAATTCACATAAAATCTCACCTAGGCTCTCCGGGGGAGTGATTATCAGAGCAAGCCTGCATAAAGACGCGGGAAAAACTAGACACCTGACCTTCAACTCCCCCTCCCATCAGCGGGAAAACAAAACCTGTATTGCCAGCACCTGGGAGGGGCAAGCGGAAAAAATCAAAACAATAGAGTGCTGGGGGGTTCTCAATAGCCAACCTCCACGCCCAACAAACGGCAGGCCCAGAGTACAGTTTGAACTGCCGCGAGGCATCACTCAGGGGAAATCTGGTCTAGCAGGAGAAACCAGGACTAGCAGGACAAACCAGGGGACTAGAGGCCAGGCCCTCGCGACTGGGCGGCTGGAGAACGCATGCCTGCCGGCGAAACTCTACCTGCTGCCCACACGAGTGGGTGGCCGCCGGCAACCGACAGCACGACTGGGCAGCTAGAGATTGCCTGCCCACCAGCAACAGCTGGCCCATTGCCCCTGTGACTGAGCAGCTGGAAACTGCACGCCCACCTGTGACCAATCGCCCGCTGGCTGTCCGGTTGACTGGGCAGCTGGGGACCACCCGCCCACCAGCGAAGCCAGCCCATTGCCCCTGCGACTGGGTGGCTGGAGACCACATGCCCACCGGCAACTGATCGCCCAGCGACTGATCGCCCGCCGGCTGCCCGCGCGACTGGACGGCTGGAGACAACCCGGCCGCCGCTGTCCGGGAGCTGAAACCAACCAGAGACAGTCCAGTCCCACCCCTCCATTCAGACACCCCAGTAAGGAGCCTGGGACCCGCCATAGCAGAGAGGTGACATCACTGGAGCTCGGCTGTGGGTCCTTCCCAGCAGAATTCACTTTAGCAAGCATAGTCTACCAACACAAAGGAGAGACAACAGAGATATAAAAAAAAAAAACAAATTTATAGAAGAGAGCAGAAACACAGCAATCAAATAGAGCTGGAAAGTAGC